AATTCAGACTAGCCTCTAAAATACTCCAACTAGTCCAAAGTGTTAATGGTGCCTATACAGTTATGATCACTACATCTGGAAACTGGAGATTCCCACCGAGTGTGATGCTTATCTTCATTCGCTTGACAGTGACACATGTCCACCTTAAAAAAAAGCAATAAAAATTATATGAAGTGCAATAATTTGCAAAAAAATGCTTATCTTATTTGTCTCTTCTTACATTTATAATGCAGAGCACTAGATTTGTGTGTCTGTCATACAAAATGACTTTCAATAATACTATTTAAATATATTCAGGGCCAAAAAACCCTTCTTTGTAGAGGCCGAATATAGGCTGCTTCCCCAACCAAAATAGCCTTTTTTCTTCCCCAGTTTGGTCCTCAAAATTCCCCAGTCTTTTGAAATTTCCCTTAGAATTTAGAACAAAATTAAATGATCCTGTTGAATTAAGGTCTTTTACTGCCTTATTAGTATTTCCCAGTGCTTTTTGCTTTTCTATTTTGAAGAACTTGTTAAAAGTTTAAGTTAAATTTGAGACCCCTTTTCCCAAAGTATGCCAAAATCACGCATATTTTCCCCAAGAAAAAGGCTGAGGCCCCTTCCCCAAAAATGGTGTTTTTGCCCTGATATTTGAAATACAATTTCTTTAATAAATACTCATAGTAATACTAAATTCCTTTTTTGTGATATTTTTTCTGACACATATGTGCAGACAGTACATTGTGTACACCGGTCTTACTGACCTGTGTGAAACCATTCTAAGCATGATGCCAAGAAAATTTTGGACTTGTGAGAGGCTGTAAATGACCCCATATTGATCATAAGGTAACGTGTAACCAATGCTGAAAAGCATTTGACTATATCTCAATCCATTGAGAAGTGGCATCACTTTGAAATCAATTTTGACTGAAAAAATCGAGGCAAAGTAGTGATTTTGGGCAATTTTGAGATGTCCCCTCGTTGCCATGGGAACAGAAAATTTAAGCCTGAGCATGTTGTTGCAAGGGCAATGGTCCAGTCAACATTTGTGCCAAGTTTGATTAGTGTTAAAGGCAGTTTTTATAGTATTATAGCAATTTGAACTTGTAACGGGAGACTTTTCAATGGAAACAGCCATTTTCACAAAATGCTCATGAAGTAATGGGTTAAGAAATTTTGCATATGATTGGGAAAAATATTTAGTACCATGTACAAAGTTGTTAATCCAACAAATTGTATATCATTCAAAGCATAAAAAATACATAAAAAATTGACAATGGAATGTGTTTTTGAACATCATCTGTCTGGTACCATATTGGATTGAAATGGAATGAAGAAAAATTGTCACCTTTGATAACGGAATTTTGACTTATGATTTTTTTCTAAACTTGGAAAAGAAAAAAAGCATATTTGGCATTATTTGCCACTGGGAATGGGTCTGTTAATCTGACCCGTGGTGACACTGGTAACAAGAGCTGTCGGTAGGACAGCAACGCTCGACTATTCTTAGTGCTTGATAGTAAAAAAATGCTTGATACAGTTACCTCCTCATGTTTACAGGTTGGGGTCATGATGGTGAACAAGTGTGCAAAGTTTCAAAGCCATATGTCAATGGACTTTGAAAATATTTGAACTATTACAAAAACTATAATGTAAATTCTAAGTCGAAAAAGGGGCATAATTCTGTCAAAATGCTTGATAGAGTTACCTCCTCCTGTTTACAGGTTGGGGTCATGATGGTGAACAAGTGTGCAAAGTTTCAAAGCCATAATGTCAATGGACTTTGAAAATATTTGAACTATTACAAAAACTTTAACGTAAATTCTAAGTCGAAAAAGGGGCATAATTCTGTCAAAATGCTTGATAGAGTTACCTACTCTTGTCTACATGTTGGGGTCATGATGGTGAACAAGTGTGCAAAGTTTCAAAGCCATATGTCAATGGACTTTGAAAATATTTGAACTATTACAAAAACTTTAACGTAAATTCTAAGTCGAAAAAGGGGCATAATTCTGTCAAAATGCTTGATAGAGTTACCTCCTCCTGTTTACAGGTTGGGGTCATGATGGTGAACAAGTGTGCAAAGTTTAAAAGCCATATGTCAATGGACTTTGATAATATTTGAACTATTACAAAAACTTTAACGTAAATTCTAAGTCGAAAAAGGGGCATAATTCTGTCAAAATGCTTGATACAGTTACCTCCTCCCGTCTACAGGTTAGGGTCATGATGGTGAACAAGTGTGCAAAGTTTCATAGCCATATGTCAATGGACTTTGAAAATATTTGAACTATTACAAAAACTTTAACGTAAATTCTAAGTCGAAAAAGGGGCATAATTCTGTCAAAATGCTTGATAGAGTTACCTCCTCCTGTTTACAGGTTGGGGTCATGATGGTGAACAAGTGTGCAAAGTTTCAAAGCCATATGTCAATGGACTTTGAAAATATTTGAACTATTACAAAAACTTTAACGTAAATTCTAAGTCGAAAAAGGGGCATAATTCTGTCAAAATGCTTGATAGAGTTACCTCCTCTTGTCTACAGGTTGGGGTCATGATGGTGAACAAGTGTGCAAAGTTTCATAGCCATATGTCAATGGACTTTGAAAATATTTGAACTATTACAAAAACTTTAACGTAAATTCTAAGTCGAAAAAGGGGCATAATTCTGTCAAAATGCTTGATAGAGTTACCTCCTCCTGTCTACAGGTTGGGGTCATGATGGTGAACAAGTGTGCAAAGTTTCAAAGCCATATGTCTATGGACTTTGAAAATATTTGAACTATTACAAAAACTTTAACATAAGTGGTTACGCCGACGCCGACGCTCGGGTGACTGCAATAGCTCTACTTATTCTTATCGAATAGTCGAGCTAAAAATGCATGTTTTCATTCATTTTTTTTGGAAAACAGTTTGGTTTGTGAAATATACATTAAATATTATATAAGTACCTGTTGTTTGTAATAATCTTCTAGTCTTTCTTTAATCTTATACTGTACTTTTTCTAGCTACATGTACCAGCCTTTCCAAGTGAATATTAAAGTAAATAATCTTTTATTTCCCTGAAAATATCAATTTAGAGATTTCATTTTCAAAACCATCCAAAACCATTTTACTTGTTTAAATAAGAAAAATATTTAAAGGGCGAATGCATACGATGATTATCTGCCATATTAATTTTATCAATAATTTCTGGTACAGGAGTTACCTCCCTTCTGTACATTTCTCACTTTCTGCTACTTTGACCACAGCAGTAGCTTCTATATTTGGATTCTTTTAGAGTTGCCCTAGGAAGTGAAGGATTATCACTCCCGAGATCCTGGATTTAATATAGGGTTACACCCTTGGGATTGTTTAGAGACACTTTTAGTGTTTCCAACCTACCTAGAGCTGTACTTAGAAATCCAGACATGTAAAAGAACAAAGGGGTCTATTCAATAAAAGCTAAATACTGGTTCCTGGATTCCCTTGTATTTCATAGCTGGCTCTTTAATGTATACTTAAAGTAATCGTTAACAATTTTAAAGCAGTATGATGTAGATATTGGTAATCTAAACTTGTATGAATTTTGGCATACTTTCACTTTAGCAAGACCCAGTTAGTAAAAAACAAAGATGGCTGAATCACCTCTACTAATATAAACCACAGACGACTGTCCTAGCTTAGATACAACAATATACATGTTGATAAAACAAATTGAACTTAAACTTAGGCATCAAGCAAGTGGCAGATATCATGATCATTTTATGTATAAACCACACACCGACTGCCTCTGCAATTTTCATAATAAAAAATTATTGTTACCAGTATATAGATTTACTTACGTCACAAGGAATATCCGCTACAATACCCACGACAAAAAGGTTACAGTCAACCTGGAAATAAATATTATACAGCATTTACCACATCAATCTAACTTTAAATCCTTCATGTAATTTTGATTCTTATTTAATTTTTGAACATAAGCGACTTCCGGTCGTAAACAAACAAAGGAACTTCCGGTATGAGTCATGTTTAGAATCCGGGTCAACTCGGCCCTAAAACATACTCGGCCCCCGAGTCAGCTCGGCCCTATTCCAACTCGGCACGGGTCAACTCAGCCCACTTTTAAAAATGGATAAAGGACATCAAAGGGCTCCTATGGGCCATTATTATCAATCAATGTATATGTTAAAGATACCGATTAATTAGGTGATAATTATGATTGACTCATTCATTCAAATTTGATTAGTGACCACCTGCAATTAATTAGAAGCTTATAAATGCTATTAAGTTAACACGTTTTTGTTTCATATTTTTAAAAAAATTACTTTACAAACAAAATGCATCTAAGGAAACACATTTTTATTATATCTATATTCATAGGCACAAGTATAGGACCTGGGAAGAAAAAATATGAAGTTATTTTATCAATCTTTTCATATTTTTTCTTCCCAGGTTCTATAATCGTGCCTGTGTCTATATTAATTTTATCGAATCTGCAAGACAAATAAATAACTTTTTTTCTAAATATATTTTATTTCAGCAGAGGTACAATGTATAATCATATAATAATAATAAGATATTTCTTATTATTCATTTACCTTAACAACATGCAAAGCAAAGTAAATTATATATGTTATAGGACTATATATTTTTGTAAAGTGGGCCGAGTTGACCCGTGCCGAGTTGGTATAGGGCCGAGTTGACTCTTTTCCCATGTTTATGGCGCGAACCTTACATAATGAAATTTGTTAATATTTCACAACCAAATACAAAACTCTAAAAAGCAGCTCATTAACCACATTTTCTAACGAAAAGAAAGTGATGAAATAGATAATAACAAACGCCTTTCACGCTATTGTCAACAATGGGCCAATTCTCAAAAGTGGGTCAACCTCGTGTTTGTGTTTATGTTATGACCAAGTTACGTGACACACGAGTAAACAACAAAAAAACATGACAATGATCAAAATCAGTGGATAAGTTGGTCTCAAATCGAAACATTCTAACACTTTCATTTCGAATTATAGGGAAAATTACGTAAATGACAAAATGACGAGCGGCCGAGTCAATCAAAGTGTTTTTGAACTTGGCCGTTTATTCAAATTTCCCGTAAAATACTCGTCAATTTTGTAATGAATAAATATATAAAGTGATAATCAATGAAAAAAAACAATAACTCAAATATATTTACTTACAATATGTGCGATGGTTGTTGATTCTTTCCTGAGCAATTTCTCTTACGTGTTGTTCTCTTCGATAAATTATTGTGAGTCTGCGCATGCGTTAATAATAATTTGTAGCGTAGAAATACAGGAAATTTTTATCGATGTTTTTAGATGTCAAACATGAATAAAGTGCATGATTTTCGGGTAGAAAAAACTTTAACATAATTTTTTGCAACATTGGGACAGATAAGTCATCGCTTAGCGTATGCTTAAAGCGATTTAAGTGCAAATCATGAACTACTTTATGTCACGGACGTATAAGCGGATGGATGCTGTTCAGCAAATCCACTCTGCCTACCTTTTTTTGAGATTGTACTTATAACTCTGTATTCATTCTGCTTCGCACAATGAATACAAAAACGATATTACACTATAGTGTAATAACACTTTGACGTGACGTCATTTGCGCTATATAGAAACATAGCGTTAAAGCGCGCTAATGTTAGCGTTACACTATGGGCGCGTCATTAAAAAAATACTCATTTTAACAGTTTACTGTTCTTATTTCATTTATGTGATAAATAGAATATCACATTCGTGTAGATTCAATACTAAATTTATTAAACTCGTTGAATAAAACAATATTATGCTCGCCAGAGGCTCGCATAATATGATTTTTATTCAACTCGTTTAATAAATTTAGTATTAAACTACACTCATTCAATATCCTCTATATAATGGTTATAGCAATCATAACAAGAAAATTAGATAGTGAATACCACGAATTAAAAAAAGTAAAGACATACGAAAAGGAGAATGAGCAATTATGATGTTTAACTCTCAACTTTTAACAGTGTGTTTCTTTAAGAAGCATTGTATTATAAAACCACATGATGAGTTAGCTGAAACATTATATCATTATAAACTACAATAAATCCAGATGGCAATTATCAAGAAAACAACAATAAATACGGACAACATTTATACATAAACCACAATAAATACGGACAACATTTATACATCAACTACAAAAAATACAGACAACATTTATACATAAACTACAATAAATACAGATAACATTTATACATAAACCACAATAAATACAGACAACATTTATACATAAACTACAATAAATACAGATGGCATTTATCCAGAAACAATAAATACAGTCAACATTTATACATAAACTCCAATAAATACAGACAACATTTATACACAAACTACAATAAATACGGACAACATTTATACATCAACTACAAAAAATAAGGACAACATTTATACACAAACTACAATAAATACAGATGGCATTTATCCAGAAACAATAAATACAGTCAACATTTATACATAAACTCCAATAAATACAGACAACATTTATACACAAACTACAATAAATACAGACGACATTTATACATCAACTACAATAAATACACACAACATTTATACATAAACTACAATAAATACAGACAACATTTATACATAAACTACAATAAATACAGACGACATTTATACATAAACTACAATAAATACAGACAACATTTATACATAAACTACAATAAATACAGACAACATTTATACATAAACTACAATAAATACAGACAACATTTATACATAAACTACAATAAATACAGACGACATTTATACATAAACTACAATAAATACAGACAACATTTATACATAAACTACAATAAATACAGACAACATTTATACATAAACTACAAAAAATAAGGACAACATTTATACATAAACTACAATAAATACAGATGGCATTTATACATAATCTACAATAAATACAGACGACATTTATACATAATCTACAATAAATACAGACAACATTTATTCATAAACTACAATAAATGCAGACAGCATTTATACATAAACACAATAAATACAGACGGCATTTATACATTATATACTTAAATTGAGCGAATAAATACAAGGTTTAAACAGAACATATGCATGATTTTATTTTACAAGATGAGATCTCGAGCAATGAAATGCAATTAAGATGACTGTAAATCAGAAAATATTTCAACATATATCTACTTTGAATGCAAACAAGATCGTACAATACAAAAAATAAATTGCTGCAAATACTGGCTTATAGTTAAAATACTGGTGGAATTCATAAATCAATTGGTGATGAAATAAATGAAATTCAATAATATTTTTTTATCTTACACAAATGAAAATTATATAAATATACAAATTTATTATGTACTTATATTTGAAATATTGAGAATATTGGTGAAATAAAATGCGTATTTTCATTTTTCATATATCTTTGTTATTTTTTTTCCCACTGTAGTGAAACATATATTTCCATATTTTAACTGGTGTCTTTCTTCTTAATTCTAAAATTTGCTCATTGTTACTTATTCTTATTTATCTTTTATATTTCAAAAGTAATACACTTTTATTTTAACATCAAAGACAACGTTAACGTTTTCTTGACGTCATTTGTTAATTAAATGACGTTAAGTGTCATTTTCTCATGGCGGTGTTCATTTATGAATTTGTATAATAATGAATAAAGAGCTGTATACATATTCCTTATATCAGGTTTTATAATTTAATGCAATTGAATTACTCGAATTTTCACTGGCTGATATGATCTTTATATGATTCCAGTATTATACAAACATTTTAGTGGAGTTTTCACTGGTTGACATTTTGTATATATTACACATAATGTCGTAATGCAAATACCATACAACATCGCCACATTTTTAAAAAAAAAAAGTAACCAGCCGCAAAATTTTATAAAAATTAAATTTTGTTCTTGCACGTGATTAAGTTACATTTCGTTTTGCCTTTGATGACACTGACACGGAAAACTATAATTTACGTCTGAGAATTACCAGACTGTTTTTTTTAAACACATTTGATTGGTCGGCTAAAACCCAGAATCTATCCGTCCTCAAGCCAGGGTCCCCAGAAACCGTCAAGGAGAGCGGGGTCTGCCATCGGATCTTGTTCGGGTTTCACAATCGGCACTGCAGTGCTTTGATAATATTCAAGACGTTTAAGCATATATCTAACTACAGTGGGATATTTGTCCGAGACGTCCCTTAGTTCATGCGGGTCATTCTCGATATTCATTAGCCACAAGTTTGGATTGCGTGGCTTTCGTACTGGTCCACCTCCTGTTTTATATATATATAAAAAGACAAAACATAACTGGTGAATGTAATTTAAACATTTCAAATTTTATATAATTTACTTCAAATATTCCAAAGTTATATACATGTATTTTAAAAAAAAACATTTAAATTACTAAAAGTTCTATACTTTAAACATTTCAAAAGTTCTTTACTCTAAACATTTCAAAAGTTCTATACTTTAAACATTTCAAAAGTTCTATATTTTAAACATTTTAAAAGTTGTATACTTTAAACATTTTAAAAGTTCTATACTTTAAACATTTTGAAAGTTCTATACTTTAAACATTTTAAAAGTTCTATATTTTAGCAGTTTAAAAGTTATCTAAACATATTTAAGAAAAAATCAAAATTAACATAACTAGTCATATTCTTATAGGTATTTTTAACGAAACGTACTTTCTATTGTCTTTGTCACAACGAATAAATGTTTGCAAGAAAAACAGTCCATGAAACATTGTGTAAAATATTACATTGGTATTTTAAGGTGATTCTGTGCATGCCCGTCGTCCAATATAGGATTGATAGCTGAATAATACGAGTCCAATATAGAATTGATAGCTGAATAATATAAGTCCAATATAGGATTGATAGCTGAATAATACGAGTCCAATATAGGATTGATAGCTGAATAATACGAGTCCAATATAGAATTGATAGCTGAATAATACGAGTCCAATATAGGATTGATAGCTGAATAATACGAGTCTAATATAGAATTGATAGCTGAATAATGCGAGTCCAATATATAATTGATAGCTGAATAATACGAGTCCAATATAGAATTCATAGCTAAATAATACGAGTCCAATATAGAATTGATAGCTGAATAAATACGAGTCCAATATAGAATTAATAGCTGAATAATACGAGTCCAATATAGGATTGATAGCTGAATAATACGAGTCCAATATAGAATTGATAGCTGAATAATAAGAGTCCAATATAGAATTGATAGCTGAATAATAAGAGTCCAATATAGGATTGATAGCTAAATAATACGAGTCCAATACAGAATACATAGCTTAATAATACTAGTCCGATAAAATAAAGAATTGTCCTCGACAATGTACAATAAAACCCCATTAACGTTACAATATATGATCACGTGACTTACTCGGTGTGCCGGTGACAAGTTTCCATTTCCCAAGTCTTATTGCGGCGCTGATTGTTGTATCGAATGTTTTGTTGAACAATGGTTGACCAGGGGCTCTTCTGATTGGCTCAATGTTAATCAGAATTTCCGTCCGCTTACTTGACTTCCCTTTACTGAAAAAGAACATACATGTCCATATTTTTATTCAGAAAATACAAGTTACGAAAAATAATATTTAAAAAGAATAGAAAGGGACTTAATAATATATTGTTACTCAATCTTAACGTTATCTTCCATTAAAAGGTAGAAAAATACCCCAATAAATCACTTTGGAAACTCGTTAGAAATCGGCATATTCCGTAACATAGCCTAAATGACACTGTCGCTGGTAAACAAAGTGTGGCGGAAATGGCCGGAAAAAAGTGATTGCATCTTTCCATGTTCAACGAAGATATAAACTGGTAATAAAAACTCACAAAATGCAGTCCGTCTGGTCATAACCATCCAAAGGTTTCGTTCCCTCCAAGTCACCGCCTGCAACTTTGACCAGCGTTGGGAACCAGTCGGTCACGTGAAGAAGTTCGTTTGATACCGAGCCAATCAGATTTTTGTTCAACTGTTTACCATGCACGAAACCCACAGCTCTAATGGCGCCTTCCCAGAAACTCCCTTTAAAGCCTCGTAATGGTGAATTACTACCGTAGCCATATTCCGCACCGTTATCTGAAGTGATTACGACAATCGGTTTATAAAACATTTCAAACAGATTCGCACATATTTCATTTTTACACAACTTTACCCGCCAACAGGCTATAGGTTAATAAATGCATTTTGTTAGATCGATCAATAAATAAATCGTATAAATTCGGGAAAGCCGTCATTTCCCGTTTCTTATTAAAAAAATTAAGTCGACAAGCCGTATTGCTCATCGTGGTTAAAACAACGCTTCTTTTATTCAAAATCAACTTCAAAGATAAAAAATTGATATATTTCATTTATTAAAGTGACATCAATTCAATTTAATCTGCTGTATCAACGTACTTCCGGAAAAAAGCGAAAATTTACGACATATATTTTGATATTTATGGTATAGAAACCAGTTCTGCGTTTATTACATTTTTTTTGTAGTGGAATTAATTAATTACCTGTTGTAAATACTAGTAAAGTGTTGTCCCACAATCCCAGACTTTTCAAAGCTTTGGTAATGTTTCCAACTGCTTCGTCCATGCATGAAACCATCGCTTTAAAATATATATGTACATAAGTTGAGGTTACAAAAAAGATTGAGTGAAGTGTGCATAAATTCTGGGTAAGAGCTTAACTACCCCGTTAACATATATAAACAATCTCTATTTGTAAGGGGTCTACTAATGATGATTGACAGTGTTGAATACAATACATGTATATACTATCAAAGATATAAGTAAATGAGGCTGTAACGGTACCTATACATGTATTATATTGCACCACCCGGTTACCTCAATTGATTGATCGGGCGACCTGATTCCCGGACGGCGCTTTCATCATGATTAATCCAACGATCATTCGCACTGTACCACTGCTCTGGCATGTACAGCAGTAACTGGCAGTTCCTTGCGAAAGTGAAGGCAACTAGAACTGGTAAACTTGGTCTTTTCAATGACTTTTTGAATATTCCATCATTATTTATACTCCGAGATACTCTGTAGGGCTCTATTATAGTTATAATATATAATTACACATACATATACGTAAAATGTTTCATCGGAACAACATTATTTTCCCTCATACAAAAAAACCCCCCAACAACATGCAGTTTAATTCGTAAGAGTGTCACGTGTATGTCACGCGCACGATTTATACCTGCATAGGTCCTCCTGGCACGGCTGTGGATATGCTTGTATTGGCCCATGTACGAACTTGGAACTTGCAATGGCGAATGTGGTGCTTGGAATGGTAGGTAAACAAAAATAGGCTGGAAATAAATCAATTCACAGATGCATTAAACTTAATTTCCTACTGACCATATTCAAACACGAATTCGCAAAAAAAGTGTATATTTCGCCACATTTTGTATCATATAAAATTAATGAGCGCTACATGGCCAGGCCATACACGCTAGTGCAAATTCGGTACTTTTCACCACGTTCTGTATCTTGTAGCAATTTTATGAGCGCCAAAATGACATGGCACAAGAATATATCTCGTCAGTTCATCACAAATACTGCTACATTTTTGGCAATTATACCTTAACGTACAGAAACTTTTGTCAATAATTTAAGATTTAATTACAAAGCTATAATTAGCCCTAAAACCGTGACCGAATGATTAAGGTCGTTTACTTAAAACCACAACCTCTCACTGCTGTGGGTTCGAATTCCGTCAGGGTCTAAGATTTTTCCATGTGAGGAAGCTACGGAACGTCGGTAGTTCTATACAGGTGTCCGTGCGTGACTGAAATAATGTATAGAGGGCACCTGAGGTCTTTCTCCTCCAGTAAAGCTGGAGAGTCACCCAATGACCGTTACAGTGGTGGTGCGACTTAATCCCGCGCCATATAAATAAACAAAATATGAATCTAAAATAAATAAATAAATAAATAAATAAATAAATAAATAAATAAATAAATAAATAAATAATAAATAAATAACCTAATAAATAAATAAATAATATAAAATAAAAAATTAAACCAAATAAATAAATAAATAATAAATAACTTAAACCAAATAAATAAATAAATAGAAATAAATGAATGAATAAAATAAAATGAAATAAATAAATGAATAAAAATTAATTAAATTACAAATAAAAAAATAATAAATCAAACTTAATAAATAAATAAATTAATTAATGATAAAAACAATAAAAAAGAAGATAAAAAACCCCCAAAAACAATAACTATATAAATAAATAAATGGGAAAAACCAAATAAATAAATAAATAAATAAATAAATAAATAAATAAATAAATAAATAAATAAATAAAATAAGTGTTATAAACGTCATACCTTCCCTGTTTGATCATTTTTGAAGATATCTATTGTCTTTTTAGTGAACACGTGGGTGGAATATTTGCCGTGATATTTCCGTATGTTTGCCGGAGCCTCGTTTTCACGAAGGTCGTATCCATGGTAAGTTTTGTATCGTGTTGTATAAGTGAAATAGTCATTGTGCCCGTTTAAAAATCCTGTTGAATAATGTACAGAAATTGAATTAAAAGTACAAATGAGCCGCGCCATGACAAAACCAACATAATGCATTTGCGACCAGCATGGATCCAGACCAGTCTGCGCATCTGCGCAGTCTGATCAGGATCCATGCTGTTCCTACTTGTAAAAGAGTTTGCAAACTTTTGGAAAGTCATACATACAGCCAGCAATCCATATCTTGGGTGACTTCAACTACCGTAAAATAAACTGGACATCTAAACTAAATAAAGATACTGACTCATGTTTATCAGACTGTGAAGGCCAATTATTCATAGACATTTTAAACGAGGCTAGTGCAGAACAACTTGTTCTCTTTCCAACTAGAGAAAGTAACACCTTAGACTTATTGGTAACAACTTTACCTGGTCAGTTTAGCAACATTCACTCTCCAGATCAGTTTAGTGACCATGACGCCATTATGGGAACATTCAGCTGTTATGTACCTAGGAAGTCTATGCAAAAACGTAAACTTTTTAAATACTAAAAAGGTGACTATACTCAAATGAAGGAAGATGCTGTTAATTTTTCCAAATACAAATACTTTAATGGTTACCAAAACAAAAGATCAGTAGAAGAAAACTGGAATATGTTTAAAAAATAAGTACATCTGAAAAGAACATCCCTAGCAAAATGTCAGGTGGAAAAGAGTCTCTACCTTGGAGAAATAATAATATTAAGCGTCTGATTAAAAGAAGAAACCGCACACATGCTTTGTATAAAAAAACTGGCAACTCAAAGATTAAACAAAGATGGAAGATTCTAAGAAGTTCTATAAATAACGAATTGAAATCAGCACACAGTTTGTTTGTTAACGATCTCATTGGTGACATCAAACAGGACTCAAAACCCTTTTGGAAATATATAAGTAGTCAAAAGAAAGACTCGCAAGGTATACCACCCTTAAAGTCAGGAAACGGTAAATCCGCTGAAACAGACATAGATAAAGCCGAAACACTTAATCGCCAATTTACTAGTGTTTTTACAGAGACAATTTACAGTTCTGTTCCGTACTCCAAACCATCTACTGAAACCATGAAGAAAAGTTACTAAAAAAGGTGTTGAAAACATTCTAAAAAATGTCAATCCGAGTAAAGCAATGGGTCCTGATAACATCCACCCTAGAATACTCAAAGAACTTTCATATGAAATATCAGGAATCCTAGCCCACTTCTTTCAACAGTCAATTGATTGCGGATTAATTCCAGAAGACTGGAAGAATGCGAACATTTGCCCATTGTTCAAAAAGAACGATAGATCCATTCCAAATTGCACCAGTAGTTTATGAGGAGTAGTCCGGACAAGTTTTGTGACGGACGGACGGACAGACAGACAGACAGATGACAGACGGACAGACAGACGACGGAGAAGTGATCCCTATATGTCGCCACTACTCCGTAGAGGCGACACAATAAAGGTGTAAACAAACAAGCACATATAAATATAAACATTTTACAACGTAGTAAAAGAGCTACCAAGAACCAACATAGTCAACATTTCTTGCGTATCCAGTCGCGTACTGATGTGTTAAAGTATAGTTTTTTCCCAAATACTGTGAAAGAATGGAACTCTCTACCTCCAGACCTTTTGATAAATAATGTAAACACCCTTAAGGACACATCCAGTTCATTCGCAAAAATCATTAGAGAGGGTATCATGTTGCCCTAAGCCGCTTGATAATTGCAAAGGCCGGTGTAAATAATGTCTTTGACGTCACACCGTATACAGATCAAGATCAAGATCAAGATCAAGAAGCGAACAGCATGGATCCTGATCAGACTGCGCCGATGAGAGATAATATGAATTTTATAACTTGTGATATTACAAAGACGGAAATTACCGAACTATGTCGATGTTTCACGAAGTTAATCAATTTAAGTGTTGTTTTTACCAAAGAAACTATGAAATCCTCGTCTTGTAGGGAGATATGACTTCTTGTGGTATCCTAAATGCCATTTTCCTACCATATGTGTGGAATATCCGGCATCAGATAACTTGTCGGCAATAGTTTTACTGTCTAGAGGTATACTGCTCGGCTCTGTTGGCCATATTACACCACTTTGTAGCCCAGTATGAATCTAGAAAAAAAGGCAACGCTAGTTTAAGTACTGAAAAAATGTAAATATTCCGATGATTCAAAAGAAGAAGGAGAAAAAGAAGACGAAGAAAAAGAAGAAGAAGAAGAAGAAGAAGAAGAAGAAGAAGAAGAAAAAGAAGAATAAAACAGCTATAAAAGTTTGAGGTCACACAGGGCCGTAAACTTTCTTGTCCGATTTAGCATTGACGCACATTACTTGCCATTCGATATTTATAAAGTAAATTCTGCACACAAAAAAAAGGGGGGAAAAAGGACCAGTAATCCGTACAGGTTCTGCAATTACAAGACAAATCTAACATATATAGTCATAAGAATATTTATATTCCTTCAGTATCTGTCAGACAATGTAACATGGAGCAAATCCGAACTCTTATCAGTTTGTTACGGAAATTGACCGAATTGATACTTAGGAAACCTAAAAAGCTGAAAAACATAAACATTTTAGTTTTCAGTTCAGAAAGGAAGCAACAGATAATAAATTATTTTATAATACTGCACGTTTGTAACGTCGCTTTTCATTGGATAATCGTGACGTTTATATAGTTTTATATACACGGCTGCTGTCGATTTATGAAGAAATCTTACTTTTTCACTAAAAAAATGATGCGTGCTGTATTATAAATTCGTTGTAAAGATCGTTGACAGGTTATATGGCGGTATATAAACGGCTATTTGCAATATAACCCTCGCCTAGCGGCTCGGGTTATATTTACAAACAGACGTTTATATAGGGCCATATAACCTGTCAACGATCTTTATAACTAATAATATATGATAATAGATATCATATGTAGCGCCTTATGTCGTTGATTCAACTCGTGCATGCCCAAACTTGTCACAGTGATTACCTGCCTTGGCAGAATTGTACTGATAAGGGAAGAGATTGGTGCATGCCCAAGACAAACAATATCCATATGCGCAACAATATAGTTCGATATCACTGAAATCAGCAGAACAAAACCTGCCAAAAATTGCAAACAAAGTTATTTTATGTCCCAGATTTCATAAAAAAACATCAATAATGACATTTGACTCGCGTGTCATAAAGTAAGTATGAAAATTTACTTCTGTTTCGAATGTGCACTATTCCCGCATCATCTGCTCATGAGGTGTGTATGGGACAGCTTCTCAGGGAGAATGGGGATAAAGGGAGTGCCAGCGCAGAAGCATGGCATTTTATAGAGACTGAATTGAATGACTGCTAGGATCTAATCTTTTTTTCCCGACAAGGAAACAGTAACTGTTCTTCGACTGGAAGATTAAAAGTATAAATACATGATATCATTGCATCGGCATTGAACACCTCCTCGTTCTGAAGGCCAAGGTTACGCTGACCAACGTGTTCACTGCATTTTAAGTTGAAACAGCAATGACTTAGAACTACGCTGCTAGCGTTATACGAGGAACTAATATCTCGGCTATTTTTCCGAAGTTTGACGGAAAGGGCCGAGAATTTGCGATTAACGTTAACGTATGGCTTATCTTTATTAAGTCAACAATTACAACCCTACGACGGAAACAATCGCAACTTTTCGGTCCTTTCCGTCAGTCTTCGGATAAGGACTATTATGAATAATAGCCGTGGATGTTCTGATTGCGACGGAAATACTCGAGAAATTGCAGTTGACGTATTAACGTTAAATCGTAATGATTACTTACGTTTTCGAAAGCTTTTAAGAATTTTAAACAATAATGAATGAATAATTTGTTTTGTCTGAAATGATGTTTTCCTATTCTTTACACTGACGTTCCATCGTTTTAAGAGACATGCACGACAATTCTGCACGAAAATCGTAAACTAACCTGGTATCTGCCGGTCATCAGTTGACTTCGTGTAGGGGTACATATAGGTTGTACGTAGTAATTCTCCAGTCTTAATCCAGACATTGCTAATTTGTCCAAATTTGGTGTTTTTATCTCGGAGCCATGGTAACCGATATCATTAAATCCGTAATCATCCGCCACAATAAACAATATATTAGGTTTGGTACTATTTCTTCTAAAGATGTTACTCTTCAGGCGTTCTTTGATAACGTTTGGCCGTGACGCCTGTCTTGACGTCATCACTTGAAGCAACATTAATGACACAGCAAAAATAAAAGCAACATTTCGTAAACAATTCCTATATTCCCTCCCCAGCATTAGTACGTAGCTTTCACAATTTTGTTCACAATTTTTTTAAATTTCATACAAGGTTAGATTTATAATTCCAGGAAAGAAGATAGAATATAGATAGGTCTTACTGTTTCACCAATGAAAGTGTAAAATATAAACATAATCGTGCTACAGCTGTTTATATAAAATCAATGTCAAGAACTTTCTGAGGATAATTAAAATAGTGTTTGGTTTTTCGATATTTTCAGTTTCGGTCCATATATATGAACCATTTGAAACAACATTAAGATATATGTATTGTTTTATAACATGTATTTATAATGAAATATTTTCGTCTAAACATATTTTATTGCCTTAATAGAAACATATACATTAATATACATGTACGAGGGTTGTCCCAATATTCTGTGACAAGATTGTTTAAAAGCTAAATAAAACAGGTACGAATTTGATATTTTAATATGTTATAAACCCATATAATTTAAACATTTTCACAAATTTTCATAGAAAAATATCAACAAACAACAAAAATATACCATAAACAACATGCCAACTAACTGAATCGCGGCGCACGTACAACGTCAAAGACCGTGTTAAATCTATATAAGGCGCCTTTCTCAAATACTCTCAATGGCTTTCAACGCAATAATGGTACCCATTAATCGTCAATTCCTGACTTAAATCATGTGGTTGTTAATGTCTGTTGAATGTTTGGATGGCATACATTAATTTTTCCTAAACGCGAACTTCCGATCTCGTTACACCTGTTTTTAGCTGTAGGAAATAGGCGGCGAAGATCGGTCTTCCTACCCGTGTTTTCCTTATTTTCGCTTTTTGTAGCGCAAAATTCTGGTTCCGTTCATGCCTTTTGTACACAAGTGCTCGGGATATGTTGCTAAACTGTTCTATTTGGTAAATTTGTTGAAAATCGTAACATGTGTCATCTCGAAATAGTCATGAAACCTGAGTGACCTGTTCACTGCGCCGCAAATTATTCGAACGTCGCCATTTTAACTTTCCTATTTTATATGAGATATTTTCATTTATTCCTATCTTTTTCGTTTCTTAAGTTATTTAACTAAAATTTTCAGAGATGATTTAAACATAGCAGCAGATGAAGTCAACGTGACATTGTGTAGACACATTATCAGATTTTTTAAATATACGTAATTAATTTCAGCCTATTCATAACAAAATGTAAATTATTTGACGTGCGCCGGCAACTCAAACCAATGTCGTTAATACTGAAAATTTCTAAGTAACTAGATTAAATTTTTTGTAAATGATTTGTTGTAATGTTAAATAATAAACATAAATGTTATATGTGTGAATAATTTTTAGATTGGCGGTAAAAATGAACCGGCTATTAAATTTGTCACGGACTTTTGGGACAACCCTCGTATATGTATTGTTAAATTATAAGGATTTTTTTTTATAATTTTTATCTTAACATATTTTATTGTGTAAATAGAAACATATGCATAAATGTACAGACAAATACGCTGCAATTGTTTCATATTAACTAAAATATTTGGCAAAAGGGTTGACCCAAAATTGATGTCAACATTAGCACCGACCCTTTCCTTATGCTGTAAGTTTCAAAAACATACAGTGCAAAAATGTCAAGAGTCAGTAAAGTAAAAAAAAACAAACAAAACAATAAATAATTAAATATACATTATGTACATAATACCTGTATCTGTGAAATAGTTTGGTTTCAAAAAAGAAATATGTTTGGTGGTATGTGTTCCTTATATAGGTTGAAACGTATTGAAGATTTGCAGACTAATTCATGTTTCGGTGACGTAAAAAAACATGTACGTGTACATGTATGATTGCAAATAAAATATTATCACAAATCCGTGCAGCTATTGCTACTCACGGGATCTTGACGTATGACGTCACGTCAATAACACTGCACAAATACTGTACTGCAGTAGCGTAAAGACGCGTCAGAAAATAGAGTACAAGTATATTGAATTATGTTGAATGAGTGTAGGTTCAATACTAAATTTATTGAACGAGTAAATTAAAATCATATAATACGGACGAGTTGAATAAAATAATAAAATGCGAGACTATGGCGAGCAAAATATTATTTTATTCAACTAGTTCAATAAATTTGAATAGGTGTATGGCTAGCATTTAGCGCGTTCTTAAAGATCGTTCAGCACGACATTATTGTTGTGCTTGTGGTAATTTAGTTATTTCTATTCGGCTATTTTCTTGTTGGGTGGCTCCAGTATTCCTCACTTGAATACTATTGAATCACCCTTAGGATATGTGGCCTGCTTTTGTCTTTTGACGTCTTATCTGTAATATGCAGGCTTCATAACCTCTGATCCCCTTTCAAAATTCCATTTTATTTAGTTCCGCCCATTGTTTTCTCGTTTAGGGCACAAGCATTTTTTTTACTTGGGGACCATATGCCACTTTTCATGGAATGGCACTAACGTGTCACATTGAAGGTTCCATGATAACCGCCATATGAACACGTCTGCGGATGTTTCAAAATTCTAAATTTTACCAGTTCATGTTTAATGTTGATTTTTGCTTAAGCCGGTGCTAGGGGGCGTGGACGGTAGTTGACAGTACCGTCCATGAACAGGCTCAATCAAACCGAGTCTACAACATATTCAATTTTGCCGTGTTGGGCTTTCTTTAGGGATTCTTATTTTCTCTATTTTACAGTGCGTTTCGTATAACATAAATGAAGTCAAGTCAAAATATATGCGCGGCCGCGCAATACCATTTTTGTGGTGTCGAAAAATCGGCACGGATATGTGATAAGTAATATTTACGTTACAATATAAACATGCTAATAATAAATATGATTTTTTCACGGTAGCGATATGGAGTGAACAAAATATGGATAAAATAATATGTTCGACAGAGGCACACGTAGTATGATTTTATTCAACGTCGGAATTTAATAAATTCAGTATTGAACCTACACTCGTTCAATATTCTCTATATAATTATGTAAAGTGTGTACGCGTGTATGTGTCTGTCAGAAAAACAACAACTACAACAACAACATAATTTCTGATTAATACCATTAAAGTCTACATCGGAAATGGCAAACACACAACTTTTAAGGGTGGCCTTATTTGTAAAGATTTTTTTTAATTATTCTTTTCATGATCAAGGTTGAATGACTTACACGAAGCAAGTATGATAAAACAATGTCGTCTGCTTGCAACATAAGGAAAATTCAGCAATTTACCTGAAACGGAAATAACTTCAACTAAACAAGAGGACCGTGTTGGCCCTAGATCGCTCAACCAATACTATATCTGAATTAGGAAAGACATGTAGCGTAGATTCAAATAGGAGTGGTCTTGTAATTTATTTCTGAAACTTGATTTATGTTTTTATATTTTTGGTAAAAAAAAAGAACAAACACAGTTGCTTATGCTTCAATAATTTAGTTTAGAATTAACTAAACTCAAAAATTTGCTGGTTTAGGATTACTAAATTGGTTTCGCTACTTATCACATTACTTTTTCTTAGCTCAATTAAGTCGTCATTTTCAATCACAACCAATTTATTAACTTATTTCCAGGTGTATAGATTCAATCAAGTGACATGCATGCTTTTTACTCAGTTTCAAAGAAGAAGAAATGCCGGGTCGTCAGCTGTACAACAGTATCATGACGTTATTACACGTGTACATTCCATAGGAAGGAGAAACAAACAAAAAACATATGAGCCGCGTCACGACAAAACCAACATAATGGGTTTGCAACCAGCATGGATCCAGACCAGCCTGCGCATCCGCTCAGTCTGATCAGGATCCATGCTGTTCGCTATCAGTTTCTTTACTTGTTATAGGGTCTGTAAGCGAACAGCATGGATCCTGATCAGACTGCGCGGATGCGCAGGCTGGTCTGGATCCATGCTTGTCGCAAACCTATTACGTTGGGTTGCCTTGGTCGTGACGCGGCTCATATGTGGAAACAATATTGGGGCAGCTGCGTATTGTCGGCAAGCTGTTTCAAAGGTGAAACATTCTCAATGTCGAACATTTGAAAAGACCTATTGTCAATCCTCGAAATCAGAACACTATAAGTAAAATAGCAGAATTAATACACGAATGCACATGGACAAAAGTTGATGTTCGATTTCTTCGTGTTGCAACTGTTCGGTCTTTCCCGTCAAACTTCGGATATAGATTTTGGGTAATCGGCAAGGTGTCTTCTTTTCAGTTTTTCTTTGACCACTTATTATTATTACGATGAAATAATCTTTGATAGATAAAGGTTACAGTTTGGATAGAATGGAGAACCGGATGTAGGTATAGCAAGGTCACACGAATTAAAGAAGCGATTTAAAGACAAATAGATTTATCACTGACATTTTGAATTCGGTTACTAGTATACTTTAAGTCCCAGACCTTAGCAATTAGGTCCAAAGCAAGAAGTGTTGGACATAAAGAACATAACAATTAGAGAAATACCCAGGGTATCAGTGACAAGTTAGTAAATATATCAAAGTTAAGCTCAACTCTATGAATGAAGCTTTAAACACACTCTTGTGGTTCTAGACAACATGACTGTATAACTATGTCAATGGGTGACATACATGTACAATGTTTATCTGTTAAACGAATAATTTTGGCCCTACATGTCATAAAGTAGAGGAACGGCCGGACCAAAAGTTTATATAATGTATATGTATCTCTTTTATGAACACATTAATAGTTCCAAAACATATTTCTTGTTTTAATTTAATGAGCAAGGTTGAAGGTTTCTCAGACAGACATAATAACAGACAGACATACCTTCAAATCATTCAATAAGGGGCAGTATAAACAGATTTTTGCAGGTATGCCTCTATTTAAATTTGTACTACTCTTTAACCTACAGGTAAGCCTCACATTTTTTATCACAAAACATAAAACGGTGCATTATTTAGACCAGCACCATCAGGGTCTTTCAGATAGAAATAGAAAGACCCTGGCACCATATAGAGTCTAGACCAGGCTAGTGCACTTATGTCTTTAAGGTTCATGTTAAAATGCTGCAGAACTAACATCTACATATAATGTTGAATGCCAGAATGGTCAATATTGGTCTTAATTAAATGTTGAAGCAAATGAGGCTTATATACTTGAAAGGGCCTTGACATTTTATATCTGGTACAAAACAAAATACAAGAACAAAACTGATTTGTTTGTTTGAAATTTTATTTATCTTGAGTCCTCCACACAAGAGAGGACACTGTGGAAAACATGTTACAATTATAGACGGTTAAATAATTAATTTTATTAGACAACTTCTTCTCTAACAACTGTTATATTATGCTTGTTATAAAATACTGTATTGACAATGTTACATGATATTACACATGAACTAACGAAACAATACACAACATATTAGAACAATTTTGTATTTTCCATTTTCGGTCAATTAAAGGCCCATTAGGCCTCAAGAAATCAATAAAAACAACACTTTTAATCCTTTTAGTGCTGGAACCAAAAGCGTTAAGCCTTTGCCACCAGTATATATTTTTGGTCAATTAAAGGCCCATTAGGCCTCAAGATATGGTAATATTTACATTCTATTTTTGATGTCATATAACAATTTCCCTTTGCATTACGGTAATTAGTACAGTTACAGTTTATAATATATTGTATAGAAGTCATAACACTACTTTATTTACATTTTGATACCTTTATCAGAAATTATTTTACATTCAACTCTTATCTATTTCAGGCAATAAGCATCTAAAATGTTCGAAATAAATAAACACACCATTTCTAATCCTTTAAGTGCTTGAACCGAAAGTGTTAAGCCTTTGCCACCAGTATAGAGCCAGGCCAGCCTGCACATCCGTGCAGTCTGACCAGGCTCTATACTGTTGGCTGACAAACTTTAAAATATTTAAATTGATATCCCTAAAATTGATAATGGACAGTCCCAAAAATTGAAGTGAGACAAGTTTATTTAAAATATTCAGCATGTTACAAATGTTTGCCTTTTCTACACAATGGAAATAAATATGAAAATGTCTGAGGCTTAAAGCAGCACACCTCCAGATTCATGCCAATTTTCCTAAAAATCTGAAAATGTATTTAACAGTATGATATTGTGAAGTTACCAAAAGAAAGCAATTTACGCATTATCAATGGCACTTAAAACCTATGTAAATTACAATATAGAGGTCAAAACATGCAAAAATAGCCCTTTATGGTTTAGTAATACAGTAGAAATATAGCTATAACAAGAGCTGTCGGTAGGACAGCACGCTCGACTATTCTAAGTGCTTGATAGTAAAAGAGCCTTGATAATGTTAAATTTTTTAAGTTCACAAAAGAGCTAATTTTTTTTATAAATTCATGTTATAGGCCTTAGAGAGAGTCTAATTATACAGTATTGGCTTGACTATTCGGAAGGTAATGTCACAAGGGTGTTTTATTGAGTATAATAATACTAATTACCTATGAATACATAAATTTGACAGAAAAGGTACAAAGGCTTGTTATTAAGATGTTTTATCAAGTAAATCACTGCTTTATTATTATGAATGCATAAAATTGTCCCAAAAAAGGCACAAACCCTTCCGTAGTTATTGAGATAACAGCTTACAACCAAAACTTTACCATGAATTTCTAAGTTGAAAAAGGGGAGAAAACTCAGCCTAAATGCAAGGTAGAATTGTGGATCTTTGTCAGTGACCTACAATTATGACCCTTAATGCATATGTGAAGTTTTAAATAAATATCTATAATAGTTATTGAGATATGTAAAACTTGCATGTAAACATTAACCAAGAGACTAAGTAGAAAAGGGGATATGAATCAGCCTTAATGTAAGATTGAGTTATGGAACTTGGTCAGTGACATACAATTATGACCCTCCAATTATGACCCTAAGTACATGTGTAAAGTTTCAAATAAATATCTTTGAAGACCTTTAACCTTTAACCAAAATTTCTAAGTTTCAAAGGGGCAAATAATTCTGCAAATATTGCAGGCAGAGTTATGCAACTTTGCAAACTGATGAACATTGTTACTACAAAAAAGTATTTTAAATTTCAATTGAATATCTCAAGCAATAATTGAGATATTTGACTTTACAAAAAAACTTTAACCAAAATTTCTAAGTTCCAAAGGGGCATAATTCTGTCAATATTGTAGGCAGAGTTATCCAACTTGTCAATCTGATGTACCTTGTTACTATGAATAAGTATTGTAAGTTTCAATTGAATATCTCCAGCAATAATTGAAATATTTGACTTTACAAAAAACTTTAACCAAAATTTCTAAGTTAAAAAGGGGCATAATTCTGTCAATATTGTAGGCAGAGTTATCCAACTTGTCAATCTGATGTACTTTGTTACTATAAATAAGTATTGTAAGTTTCAATTGATTATCTCAAGCAATAATTGAGATATTTGACTTTACAAAAAACTTTAACCAAAATTTCTAAGTTAAAAAGGGGCATAATTCTGTCAATATTGTATGCAGAGTTATCCAACTTGTCAATCTGATGTACCTTGTTACTATAAATAAGTATTGTAAGTTTCAATTGAATATCTCAAGTAATAACTGAGATATTTGACTTTACAAAAAACTTTAACCAACGCAGACGCCGACGCGGACGCGGACGCCGACGCCGGGGCGACTACAATAGCTCTCATATTCTTCGAATAGTCGAGGTAAAAACTGAAAAATCGGCCATAATTCAAACATCACATGTAATTTATTATTAAAATTTTGAATCTTTATACTTTTCCTACAATTTTTGTACATTTTTCTCAGGTTTGATTTTATCGAAATGTTTTTGCTCATCTGGAGGCGTTCAGCTTTACTGTACCTTTAACTAAGTTAAGTAATACATGTTTATGTATCATCACTGAACTAATTCAAGTATTTCTGTCCCAGTACATGATTTTAATGGATAAATTGTACAACTAACTTCTAAAATGAAGTCATTTTAAAACTTGTAATAACATATTAATATATTTTCATATGTTTAACTCCTATTGAAATTTCCAATGCTTCTGTGTAGCAAGTTTTGTTTGTTTTTTTAAATATTTATTTTTTTTGTGGAAAAAAATACTATAAATGAACACACCTCTCTTAACTATGCATTATTGGTTTTTTTTTATATATATAATATTTTTCTGAAATCTGAAACATTAATTCAGTAATCATTTAATTTACTTTTATTGTTAACCCATACCTTGGATAAAATATTTCACCAATATTTCATTTGTAAGTATATAATAAATTATATTTATACATCAGAATAAGGGACTATGAGGCTGTATAATTTATTCCTACCTTTTATAAGCTTGTATTTTCACTCACAATAAAATCATTGCAAAAAAATCTTTCCCAAAAACGAAACATATATTATATATCTTTTTATACATATATATCTATGAAAACTTGAAATGATGTTTTTTTTCCCCTACATATCAAAGTTGAAATAAAAGCTGATGCGAATAAATACCAACAAATTTCTTGATAAAATATAACCTCCCCCCACCCACTCTCCTTACACCAACAAAACAAGACCAATAAGCGATTTCTGGAGCAGAAAATGCAGTTGCGAAATTAATACTTTAAGATACAATGACTTCAAACTAAACAACCAAATTTTTATTTTTTATAAATCAGTCAAACACAATTCTTTATAAAAAAAGTTACCTTCATTTAATTTATTTGTAGTTTATTCAACCATACAATTATATCATTTTTATTTGGGTTTTGTTTACCAGTATTGATTAACTAAACGCTATCAACCAGACCAGTACCTAGTATATATCACAAATGGACTCATCTATCTTTCAATCTGGACATAACTATTCAGCATTTTTAGGTGAAAATTTCAATATAAATGTATGTACTGACTGAATGTCAAACTGTGCAGACAATGAGAAGTGTTGGCTGATTTTGGTCCGCGCTGGCCCGCACTGGGCACATGGGTAGAACACGTTACCAACACCAGGTACCAGGTTCATGTACTGTTACAGAATAAAATATGGGGGCAAATATATAAATAGAATGAATAAAATAAACATATGTGTACCAATGGATTCAATAACAGAATAAATAAAATAAATGTGTACCCTACATATTATGTTGATGAACGTAAGTATGGGAAAATATTACCTATGTATTATAAACTTTACAACTGAAATAATTATGCCTATGTTATTAAGATGAACTTACAAAAATGAAAAGTATGATTTGAATATAAAAACCATGAATACAAATCATTTCCTTTACAAATGTGTTGAAATTATTTAATAACCTACTTAACTAATCTTCGATAATTTGACTTGAAGCAAAAAAGAGAAGAAAAACTATGCTTTTCTTTGATTTTTCTCTTTAGGGGTAAATTAACTATTCAGGGTAAATTTTCACTCTTTGGGTTAGTTTCATTTTGTTTCTCACAATGGCAAAAAGATATAAAATATTCAGTAACTATGATAGTCAATCTGTGTATCAATTTTAAGTTTGAGAAAAAAAAATTCAAATCACTTTTCTATGATATAGATGTCTGTGTCATACATTCAGTAAGAGATTTTAAGATATCCAAAGGGAGATTAAAAAAAAAAAAGAGTAAAATATTTATAAAAATCAACTTTCCACTGTTTTTGAAAAGGTATATGAGCCGCGTCACGACAAAACCAACATAATGGGTTTGCGACCAGCATGGATCCAGACCAGCCTGCGCATCCGCGCAGTCTGATCAGGATCCATGCTGTTCGCTATCAGTTTCTCTACATGTAATAGAGTTTGTAAGTGAACAGCATGGATCCTGATCAGACTGCGCGGATGCGCAGGCTGGTCTGGATCCATGCTGGTCGCAAACCCATTATGTTGGTTTTGTCATGACATGGCTCATATGTACTTGAAACATAACAATTTTTCACAATCTCTAAAATAGCCAAATTAAAATTATTAGGCCATCCTTAAAAAAATGTTCGTTTGCAGTAACGCGACCTACTCACAAAATTTGCCCCTACTCAAATGTTTTTTCATGGTCTGGATAAAAAAATTATTTTTTTTGAATCAGAAAATTATGCAATGTGTTTTGTTTTCGTTCTTTTAAAGGTTAATAGAAGAAATAAAATGTAGTGCTTATTAAATTAGAATTCAGTTATCAATTTATTAATTGTTACCAGATTATCAAAGCATATATTGTCCAGCATTTTGAAATTCCATGTTTATTTGGGAGTACAGTTCAATAAAAAAAAAAGAAGAAAAAAAAAAAAATCGACCTACCTACCCACCTTGAAAATTCTGGGTCGGGTTACTGCAAACAAACATTTTTTTAAGGATGGCCTTAAATCATTAAAAGCATATACAACTTTGGTCTACATGGTGAAAAATCTACTTAACTATGAGTATCTACTTACATCAATTTAAACTTGTGAAAAATCACTAACAAGTGGACAATTCACAAATTTTGAAATTTCATAAATTACAATTAAATCAAGGGAAGTAATGATATCTTTAAAATAATCAAGGGAAGTAACTGTATTATTTCATTAGGTTCAATGTTCCAACAAGGGGAAGCAACTGTACCTTTGCAATTCATTATAAGAAATAGGTAAATAAACATATATGTCTAGGTGATATTAAATAAGACCCATATAATCATCATGCTTAAAATAAGTTTAAAATGAATAACCAAGGGAATTAATTAGAGTAATATTTTTTATTTAGATCAGGGGAAGTAACTATGCTGTATGATCTTTATACAATATAAGAGGAAGTTACAAGTCTTTTATATTTTAAATGATTAAAAGGAAAATTTCTAAATTTCAAGGGAAGTAACACAGTCTATCTTTATTTACAGGGGAAGTAACTACATCTGCAACTTTTTATTTGCTCAGGGAAGAAAGTTTGAAGTCACCAAACCTCTACCTTTGTCTTCAACTTGAACTTCTTAATTTTCACAGGAAGTAACAAGCTCTAAAAACATCCTTTATTTTTCAACAGGTACTTGTATAATTCAAATAATCGGAACTGATGGATAAAATAAATTTTCAATAAAAACTGGAAAGTGCATTTTCTCAAAATCTTACCACAAATCGAAAAGATTTTTTTTTCAATCTTTTAAAAATTACGAATAACAACGAAACGAAAAAATGTGGAAAGCATTATGAAGTATGCAAAAAAATATCACAAAAAAAAACCAACCACACACCAAAACCGAATCTTTTTTTTAACTAGATATATATCATTTCATAGAGTTAGTTCCCTTGTCAATTTATACACATTGGTTACATAGCAACATTTACAAGAAAGTACATATTTATGTAGTATTGCACATTTTGTGAGAGCTTTTGGGTAACCCACCAAAAAACAAGCACTGACAGGACTGTTTGACTTACATATAGCACTGGTCCATTATACTCCAGTTACAAAAGTCACACAGAAAAAAAAAACCCAAAAGAACAAATGTTGAACACGGAAAAATAACAATAAATTGCACCTCAGAATCTTCGAAGTTTTTTTTTTTTTCACTGGCCAAGAATAATCATCAAAGTTTAACATGATTGTTGATCCAATCAACTGAATATCATCCACAACAGTTATATAGGCCAATACAGTCACTGGTTCATTTATATTGTATAATACTCCTCTGGAAAATCTATGGCCGTAATTAAATGGTCCGGTATTGTAATATCCAGTTTGAACCATCACTAAAAAGCTGAAAGCTGAAATATGTTTGTTCGAAATGCTGACACTTTTTTCTGGAATCTAGTGAAAAGTTGAGCATATGCTATCAGATTTCTGCTAAATCTAAACGTGTCCTGCATCCCTCATCAAATCACAGCTGAGAATTGCAATCACATGACTTTGTCATATTGCTATAAATAACTGGCCAATCAGCTTCAACTTCAACAGTCACATGATCCTTTTTTTTTTACAATGTTTTGTCCAATCAGACTAGACAAAAATAGTCATGTGACTGGCAGTATCCAATCAGATTCATGGAAGGCATGTAGTTTGAGTGTATCACAGTTTAGAGTATATATATCATGGCCATGATCCTCAGTCAAATGACATCAGATTTGGCTGAGTCTGAAATCAGAAAAAAAAAACTTTTATAAAATATTAAATCTATGAGAATAAACAATGCAGTATATTTTTGGAGTTTTAAAATTTGATGGTGATCCTGATTCTAAAATCTTAGTGAAAACAAGTGCCTGGTTTTAGTCACTGGATATTTCTTTTAAGATGTTTAATATCTTGAATATAGGCGAGTTTGGTATAAAAAAATAAATCACACCTTTGTTGATATCACTTGTCTTGGCTGAACATTTTGTTACATCACATTTAACAGAATGTTATATTATTAGTTATGAAGATTTTTTGACATATTATATGGCCCTATATAAATGGTTTTATGCATATATAACCCGAAGCGCTAGGCAAGGGATAAATTGCAAACAACCGTTTATATATGGCCATATAACATGTCAGGAACCTTTATGACTAATTTATAATACAGCAAAATTCCTTTTTAAGAGGAAAAATGTGACTTATTAAACTGACAGTAGCCATGTATATAAAACTATATAAATGTCACGATTATCCAATGCAAAGCAACGTTACAAACATGCAGTATTATAATTATATACAGACAAATTAATTTCAAGATTACAGATATTAATAAAGCATGTATGCAAATCTCCGGATCGGTATTTTCCAAAAAAAATGAGACATTGAAAGAAGTTGTGTGTTTTTCATTAGAAAAGATTAGATTTGAAAGAACCAACCTGTGCCTGATATTTCTTGGAAGCCTCACTTAGATGTCTACACCATACTAAAGCCTGGGCTTGTGTTCCCGCACGAAATTTATACTGATTTCCTGAAATATGACCAATGTCAAATATGAACCCCTTACTATGCCAAACAACTTGAACCCTTTACTATGCCAAACATCTTGGTTTAAACATATTTATTTAAACTCGATTGCAAAAACAAGTTCTTGCAACATATATTCATGACTTTCAAGTCCGCTTCCTGGAACCAACCAGTACTGGTGTCATATAAAGAAACATGGACATGACCTGATTAGTACTTGAACCCATGATCCCTAGGTTGAGAGACAGACACCTTAGCCACTGCTCCCCTTTTGCCAAATATCTTAAAAGATCTTGTATATCATTTTAATCTTGACAAATCATCTATTCATAATTAATTTACATAAAACTGACTAAATTGTGAACAGACCATGATCAGTTGGTATGGATGTGCTCGCTGATGCACTGGCTGCACAAGTTAGTTCTGTAGCTACCAGCAGATTAAGGGTAAATTATTTACTTACAGACCCTATAACAAGTAGAGAAACTGATAGCGAACAGCATGGATCCTGATCAGACTGTAAGGATGCGCAGGCTGATCTGGATCCATGCTAGTTGCAAACACGTTACGTTGGTTTTCTCATGAAAAAAAATAATAAATGCCATAAACTCTTAAAGAAACATGTATTACTTCATTTGTTTTTTCTCCAAAATATTTTTTTTTGTAAGTAAAGGGAGGTAATTTACCTTTGACTGGATCTGTGATTTGGAATGCATCTGGTTGTAATGGATTATCTCCCATGACTACCATCCAACCGACTACAGAGGTCATCTTACTGGGACTGGACTTAAACTGTGGAAGACAATGATAAAATGTTCAAACTATAATAAATATCAGGTTATACTATGAAAAACTGTACAAAAAAACCCACAACAAAAAACAACAAACCACCATGTAAAACTGTCATGTTCTTTTCAGATTTCTAAATTTTTGAGTCAAATTTGGAAGATGTTTCAGCACAAAAAATCTCATGAATTCAAGAATTTTAACACAACACAAAACAAAAACATTCTTTGTTGTTGTTGTTTTTTTTTTGAAAAAATATATGCTATCTTCATGGATGAAAATTTACAAATATTATTCTTTCAAGTTACCTAGTTTGGTTAAGAATTTCATCTTATCAATATATTAAACAAACATTTAACCAATTACATAAATAGAGGATATTGAATGAGTGTAGGTTTAATATTAAATTCATTAAACAAGTTGAATTTACTCATATTATTATTGCATGCCTCTGGCTAGAATAAAATTAAAATTGTTTTATCAGAAGAAAAAAAATACTTACAGAATTCCTTTCTATTTTTCGCAAGTTTTTGGCAGGAAAATAAAGTAAATTGGTTCCCCACAGTGCCACCCAGTAACGGGTCCATGCTGCCACCTGTAAAATATAGTTAAAAGATTTATGAATTTGCTCAATACATTTACAGGGGCTCTCAATCCAATTACTATTTATAGTAACAATTTTGTCACTATTTGTTGTAACAATTTTTTTACTATTTATAGTAACTTTTTAAAGTAATAATTTTGTAACTATTTATAGTTACAGTGTATTAAATCTCACTATGAAGTGAGAATTTTGAATTTCAAAATATTTTCAGGAGCACAAATAGAATAAAAATCTTCATTTGAAAAACAGTTCTATAAATTGAAGTTGATCATGTCCATTTAAGAAATTCTGCAGGTTCAAGGGGAAACTAATCCGTTGATTATCATTACCGTTGGTTTTCTGCCTTCCTTCAACAATGTTTTCCTTTTCAAACAACCCTGGCATGTAAAACTTTGTTGGTATTGTTTGTCTGAATCTAAAGATGGCCGCAAACTGTAAAAATATAAATATATAACAAACAACGTTAAATACCATGAACAAATTCTTTAGGCATGTTTACAAGAACTTAAGGTATTTATCTTGCATTTGTTAAGATTTTTAGTTACATCAACACACTTTAAGTCACATGCCAACTTTAAGGCTATCTTGCTGAAGGAACTCCTCCTCAAGTGTCCCTCTATGGTGGAGAAACACCAAGTGTCCCTCTATGGTGGAGAAACACCTCAAGTGTCCCTCTATGGTGGAGAAACACCTCAAGTGTCCCTCTATGGTGGAGAAACACCTCAAGTGCCCCTATATTGTGGAGGAACACTTCAAGTGTCGCTTAGAACACCTCAAACATCCCTCTATGATGGAGTGTCCTCAAGTGTCCCCCTTTGTATTATTTTAGTCATGAGCAAACGCAAGTATAACAGTAATATTTTTTTCAGGCTGGTAAACTATTTGCTCCTTGAAGCATTTTTCTTGGTGCCAAAAAGACAGCCACGATTTGTAAGGAACATTTGCTAAAGTCAATTATACAAGCAAATTAAAAACATCTGTTGACAAAGGCTTCTCCTGTTTTGTTGGTTTTATTTCTAGTTGGGCAATAGCAATTCTCTAGCTTAACTGGTTCAGGAAGACACTCCCAGGGTGCCCCTCAGTGCATTATCTATATTTATACCCAAGTATAACCTCCGACCTTTCTTAAGCTAGCTGATTAGCTTCTTCGCATTAAGAATCCCAAAATCTCTGAGGGGTAAGTTAACCTCGCAGCAGTCAAGAGGCAAATCAACAATTTAATAAGTAACCAATGTTCCTCATATTTTATCTCTAATAATAAACTAGGGAATGGAAAGCTTACTTGTCGGCAGGCCAGTACACATCTTGATCGCTCGAACTGGTCTCGGTCAGGTCTTCTGTATCACCACCTGTAACGCATAATGCACAGCCTGGTAAAGTTGAAAAAAATAAAAACACACCATTACACGTGTGCTACACATTAAACCTTTAAAGGGACTCCACTGAGGTTTTTTGACATGATGGGACTGAAAATATTTTTTCCAGATAAATGTACCATTTGATGTAGGTTTAGACCACTAATCTTTGTGCAAAATTTCAAATCATTCGCGCACTTCGCTTTTCCAGATTGTAAAAAAAATGACCCAAAATGAAAAGCGTTTAAACACTTTTCACTCAAATCGGGCTAAGAAGAGCATAAAAATACGATTTTCAATTTCAAAGTATATTTCTTCACTATCTTTGCATTTATTTCTGTTTAAAGTGCCCCATCTCATTTATGTAAGAAATTTAAATGTTATGTTTTTAGACCTTTAAACCTCAGTGGAGTCCCTTTAAAGCAACATGCCTCCAGATTAATGCTTATTGTCATGAAAATTTCAAAAATGAAATTAAATGTATAATGTTGTATAGAAAACTAAATAAAGCAATTTACACAGTCATTATCAATAACACTTACAACCCCATGTTAATTACAAAAAGAGGTCAAAATATGCCGTTACTGCGTACTAGAAATATAGTTATGGGTAATGAAAGATTCACTAGTAATCGCTCATAACATGTAAATTATTACTTGAATCTTGAATGTTTCTACTTTTCCAAAATCTTAGTACATTTTTCACAAGTTTGATTTATTGAAATATTTCCACTCATCTGCAGGCATGCTGCTTTCTGCTTTAAAATAATTTAGTGTGTGGCATTTAACCCAATAACACAATTTTATGCTTGACATATTAACACGATTATCATGATTATATGTGAGGCATTGAAGATAGAGCCATTGCAAAAATCCATTTATTGTGGTAACCTCATCCAACCCCCATCCCACCACCCCCCAGTTGATCATTTTACTGATAGATTCCTCTGGATGTTAACCAACAATAGTCATTTTGCTTCATCGTAAAAGTTGCATAAATGGGAGCATAAAAGTTTCTGCAAGTTACACGAAGGTAGTTAACTTGACAATGATATGAGCCATGACAAAATCAACATAGTGTGTTTGCGACCAGCATGGATCCAGACCAGCCTGAGCATCCGCTCAAGTCTGATCAGGATCCATGCTGTTGGCTATCAGTTTCTCTACTTGTAATAGGGTTTGTAAGCAAACTGCATGGATCTTGATCAGACTGCGTAGATGAGCAGGCTGGTCTAGATCCATGCTGGTCGCAAACGCACTATGTTGGTTATGTTGTGACGCGGCTCAATTATTAATATATTGACAGATCTAAGCTACCTACCTTTACACAGTGAACCGTCACTAGACGCGCAGGGCGACTCTTCCTCAAGGACACTGTCGTCTAACAAGTGTCGCACACCTTTCACGTACGGCGCGGTTGTTTTGGTTGGAAGACTCTGCGATCGCTCTGGTACCCCACCTGCACAGCTTAGGAAACTGGGACAGGAAAAACTGTAGATTGAAAAAGTGGTATCCTCCATACATCCAACATACAATGATTATTGTTTTCCTATTTATTCTTATTGCCGTTATTAAAAAAATATTATTTGTTACCCTTTTTCTTTCCTTTTTCTTTCCTTTCTAATTTACTGGTACTAAGAAACTGGAAGAATGCTTTATTTGTCTTTATCATGTTAAACAAAACTCTGGAAAACTCAGAATACCCAGTATACTGAATAAAATATGTTGATTTTTCAAAGTAAAAAACATTTAACCAAAAAAAAAAAAAAAATGGAAACCAGTCTGCAGTAACAATATTGGAACCAATCAAATGTAAAAAAATAATGTTTAACAAACTGGTAATGAAACAACATAAATCATTCTCCCCGTATGTAAGAGAAATATCATATAAAGCTAGCAAGTTAAAGGGAAGTAAATCAAGACTGCTTTAATTCATTATAATTCCTATTATCTCCCTTGTATAATGAAAATATTACTTTATTGTCATTAATTGTTAACTTACTTTGCACTTAAACTTTTGGATTTTCTGTGGCCATGATGTTTCCCCGTGTTTGAGGGACCAGGGGTAAGTGTGTGAGTATATCTGGGCTCTGACGTGGGCGATGGGGGACATGTACTCACATCTTCCCTTGACGTAGACATCGTCGTGTTAGAGATGGGTGGCTCCAACTTTAATGACAACCTGTAATTTAAAGCAATAAAAATTAACACTTTTATATACAAAAACATTTACTTATTCAAAATAATATTCACTAATATTGTTCAAACACAGGAGAATCAATTTATAAACAATTTAATCAGGGTAGCGATGGTCGAATGGTTTAAGTTTTTTTTTTCTTAACCAGTTGATTTTTTTTCTTTTCAATTTTCAAATCAACTTGTGGCTTTCTGATGGGTAAAATACAGCATGGGAATTCAGAAAAGTGGAGAAGGGTACCTAAAATCAAATTCCAACAACTGAGAATGAAATTTACCCCAATTTACTTAAGAATTTTCACATACTGAATGCTGACATATTTTCCCAAATTGGTAAATTTCACAATAACTTTGAAAATTAATTGCGCTAGCTACAAGCTGAGAATATGCAATTAACAATTAGACAATCAAATCAAAGAGTTTTGATAAAATTGATCCGTACCATGACAAAACCAATATAGTATGTTTGCCACCAGCATGGATCCAGACCAGCCTTAGCATCCACACAGTCTGATCAGGATCCATGCTTTTCGCTTACCAACCCTGTAACAAGTAGAGAAACTGATATCGAACAGCATGGATCCTGATCAGACTGCGCAGAAGACAATATCTCCATGCTGGTCGCAAACGCATTATGTTGGTTTTGTCGTGACGCGGCTCATAAATATACTCACTTATAATTATCATCTTCAACAAACTTCTGTAGTTCTTCTATATACCGCACAGACTTCAGGTAATTCTGAACATGCTCCTTAACTTCAGGCTCTGTAAAAACAACAACAACAACAAAACAACATTTAAAATACCATTTGAAACATTTGATTACAAAACATTTAAAAGTTCATTTGAAACATTTAGTTGAACCATACCACTTAGTCAAACAATATCACTAAGTTTAACCATATCATACCACTTAGTTGAACCATACCACTTAGTTAAAACATACAACTTAGTTGAACCATACAATGTAGTCAAACCATATCACTTAGTTTAACCATATCATACCACTAAGTTGAACCATGCCACTTAGTTAAACCATACAGGTAGTAATACAAACATAATATAGTTATACCATATGTAGATTGTTGAAGGTCAGCAATAACTCTCAGTATATTGTTCATCTGTAGTTTACGATGATGACTTTCCATACCACCATGATGTGGATGAGCAACGTCTATATAGATCAGGTCAGTCAAATATAAACCTGAAATATAGAAAACAAATATAAACCTGAAATATATAAACCTAAATATAAACCTGAAATATATAAACCTAAATATAAACCTGTAAAATACTTCAAATATGAACCTGAAATATATAAACCAAATATAAATCTGTAAAATCCGTCAAATATGAACCTGAAATATATAAACCAAATATAAATCTGTAAAATCCGTCAAATATAAACCTGAAATATATAAACCAAATATAAATCTGTAAAATCCGTCAAATATAAACCTGAGAATATTATATACAAATATAAACCTGAGAATTTCATATACAAATATGAACCTGAAAATATTGTATATAAATATTAACCTCAGAATATTGTATACAATTATGAACCTGAGAATATCATATAAACCTGAGTATATTATAAACAAACATGAACCCCAGAGTATTATATACAAATATGAACCCAAGAATATTATATACAGATATAAACCTGAGAATATTATATATAAATATTAACCTGAGAATACTTTATACAAATATAAACCTGAGAATATTGTAAACAAATATAAACCTGAGAATATTGTATACAAATATAAACTTGAGAATATTATATACAAATATAAACTTGAGAGTATTATATACAAATATAAACCTGAGAATATTATATACAAATGTAAACCTGAGAATATTATATACAAATATGAACGTGAGAATATTATATACAAATATGAACTTGAGAATATTATATACAAATATAAACCTGAGAATATTATATACAAATGTAAACCTGAGAATATTATATACAAATATAAACCTGAGAATATTAAAAACAAATATAAACCCTAGAATATTATATACAAATATAAACCTGAGAATATTGTATACAAATATAAACCTGAGAATATTGTATACAAATATAAACCTGAGAATATTGTATACAAATATAAACCTGAGAATATTGTATACAAATATAAACCTGAGAATATATAATATCTTTCAAATCTCAGACTACATCTCCAAAACATTGGACAATATCTCCAAAAGTACTTAGACCAACTCAACCATTTAAGTTATATTAATGCATTTTATGGTCTAGGAAAACCTATAACCTACTTTTTTATCACAAGCTTTTTGACATTATTATTTCTGAGAAATGCTACAACTGTCTTGGGAATAAATATACATGTCTGGATAGCTTTATTCTAAGTTCCTTTAAGCCTTTGGAAGGCAAAAAAATGATAAATTAATACATCTGTACCAAACATAGCTAATTGGGTATAAGTCCAACTAAATATCTGCATAATTGGAACTGTATACATTAATAAATAATGACTAAAACTACTGGCACACACAAAAAAACTTTCTAGCTTTACTGGTGAAGGAAGACCTCATGTGCCCTTCAGACCTCATGTGCCCTTTGTGCATTCTTATAGGTAAAATAAGGGTCTTCGGATTTTTTAATGCAATACTTGGGCATCTGACTAAATGACTGACATTACATAAGCTAACTGGATAGCTTTCTCAAATGAAAGAATCCAAAGTCCCTATCGGGATTTGAACCCACAGCTGTGAGGGGCAAGTGAACATTAGCTACACGTAGGACTGCAAAAATAAATATTATCTCATAGACAATAACTGCGAGACCTGGAATGCGAAGAATGTGGCATCGAAACAACAACAACAACTACCCATCAATCATTGGCCCTCTGTTTTTGTCATTGATCTATTTACGAAGTAATACTATACTGTACAATCCATCATCTAGGGGAAATAAGGACCGTTCCATAATTACAAAAACAAGCCAACAATTTGTAAGCTTGCCATGTGAATGTAGCTTCAGATCTACAGAGATAATGTTAGTTCATAATTGAGCCACGCCATGACAAAATCAACATATGTGAAGTGCATTTGCGACCAACATGGATCCAGACCAGCCTGAACATCCACCCAGTCTGATCAGGATCCATGCTGTACGCTTACCAATTCTATTACAAGTAGAGAAACTGATAGGGAACAGCATGGATCCTGATCAGACTGTGCAGATGAGCAGGCTGGCCTGGATCCATGCTGGTCGCAAACACACTAGTGACTATGTTGGTTTTGTTGTGACACGGCTCATTATTATTAAATTACAAACAATAATAACATTGCATGTTAATATAACACAATATTACAAAAACAAAATATTAATAATCATTAAACTAGTACAGGTAGTATACATGTACCTAGTGATCTAGACCTAATAAAAGGACAAAGTGCTCTATAAAAGGTAAATAACCCGTTCCAGTTTAAACCAGTTTTGAAATAGTCTAAAACCAGTCATCTTGGCATATATTACAGACATGGAAATCTCGCTTTTTCCTATGGAAATTTTTTATTTTTCTGCTTGTATTTTCCAAAATATTAACAATAGTTACTCAAAATTCACAATTTTGTATTTGCCAAAATCGTTTTTTTTCCAAATTAATTTAATGTCATAACAATAGGAAGTTCCCCAATTAGTTCAAAAATGGTGAAAGAGCTGTCAGTAGGACAGCATGTGTCATGTTTCTCAAAAGCCCAGATAATGCAGATTTTTTTTCAAGTCCAGAAAGGGCCATAATTATGTAAAAATCTGTTAGAGTTATGGGCCTTGGAAAATTAATGAAATGGGTTTTACATTGTATCAATATTCTGAATTGTGAATCAATAATATATTAAATGATCCATATTGTTTCATGACTAAACAGCCCTACCCTTTCACTATAAACTCAAGCCAAATTACAACAGAAACTTCCCTTTACAAATTTAGGACACCTTCAAAGTGATATTTTCTTATAACTTTATACATATAACCTACCTAAATATAGAAACATATAACTTACCTAAATATGGAATAGATATAACCTACCTAAATATGGAACACATATAACATTACTAAATATGGAACAAATATAACTTATCGAAATACAGAATACATATAACCTGCCTCAATATTGATACATATTACCTACATAAATATTGAACATATATAACTCACCTAAATATGGAATAGGTATAATTCACCTTAATATGGAATAAATATAACTTACCTAAATATGGAACATATAACCTACCTAAAGATGGAATTACATATAACTTACATCAATATGGAACACATATAACTTAATAATAACTTACCTAAATATGGAATACAAGGTAATCTGACATTATCCATATAATCTCTTAAGCGTTGTCGGTTGTTATTTTCCGAAAATAAATCGGCCATCTTTTCATACGATGACTTGTCTTTCTTGGTCAGGTTCTGAAACAATGCATACATGATCAATTTTTTAATTATATTACCATTGTTAATTGTATTGTCATTAATTAAATCCATTAACAGAAATAATGGATTTTGTCGGTGAAATATACTTTATATCATTCATTGGATAGTTTCTGTAAATAAATGCGACTTTTTTACAGATTGATTTCGTAAGAATTTTCGTAACAAGAACGTAGATAGCCAAATATATTTATTTACCGGTAATTAACTACCCTGATTTTGAGTGAGATATGGAATATATCTTTCACTATATAACAATCATTAAAAGTCACATCCCCTGCAAATGACTATTAAATTTACTTTTTTTCTACCCCCATTCCTAGTAATAAATGCAATCTACAGAACCGACTGGATGAGTTTTAATGGAGAATTGTTGCCCATCGCAACAAGTATGATGAATTGACATTCGTAGAAGAATAAATACTCACCATCCAAGTTTTGGACAGTCGGAATACAGCGGCACTTTGTAGTGCCGAGACCACTGCCATCACCGCATGTAAATTATTGAGCTCTAATAATTTCTGAAATATACAGAATGATTAACATGTAATCTTCTGGTAGCTGATTGATTCAATGTAGATCAAGATTAGCTGACACATCTGCGTGGTCCGGTCATGGTTTGCACTGTTTCCTATTCAGTCTAAATATATTTTGAAATTTTCAAACCATTTATGACAATTTTTTGTCATCACTGATATGCAAAGTGTCCATTTTGTAACAACAGCTTAGTGTTAGACATGTCCGTCTGCTTTTGTTTACATTTTGGGTGAGTTTTCATAATTTATAGACGGTTAAATAATGAATAAAAATTATCGATTTTTTAAAAATGTGTATCCATTATTCATCGACAGAAAAATATCAACGATACATCAACACTGTCTCTATCAATGACAGCTCTACATTAAACAGGATATTGGTTAGTGTTATGAATAAACAATTATCTTTTGTTTGATTTTAATCAAAATTGTTCTTTTTAATTCCATCTTATATTTCTTAAAAGAGCACAGCAAGCTGTGATAACACTCACCAGTTAAAAATTCTATGTTAAAAAGGGGTCATAACTAGTGATGTTCCGATTGTCGCAGGTCGCCAATAATCAGTTACTGTTAAGTCAAGCGACAATAATCGATTCACAAAAATTTGTTCCGCGACGTCGTCGAAAATGTTTAAGGTATCAAAGGGAATTAATTCTGACGGTAATTTTCTTTGCCGATTGCAAAAAAAAAAATCATCTCGGAGACAATTTGGAGTTGAACAGGATCAATACGTGATGTAAACAATAGTAATATAATGTGATGTGGAGGTTATTATTTGACATCCATTGAAAAATAAAATCTATTTCGTAAAATTATGACTATATAAGGTGAAAACTTTGTTAAAACGTGCTAAATTAAGTTCATGTTACTGAATATAATCAAGTGCCTTTGGAAGAAATGTTTCTTCCCTATTTCTTTTTAACGCGACTTTATTCGAAAAGTTATCGATTATGGCCCATCCGATTGAACCGATGATCGATTGGGACAAATTTCATCCGATTTCCATCACTAGTCATAACCCTTAAAAAAAATTGCTTTCAGAATTATGTCCCTTGTCGAACAACTGCACCTTGTCACGATAAGCAATTATTCCAAGTTTCATGTTTAGTAACCATTTGAAATTTATTAATACACAAAGACAAATGACTAAGCCATTAAATAATAGCTTGACTTTTTCCTCGAAATTGTTGAAGTAAAAATGTCATATCTAAGAAATCATTGTTAATATGCTGATATAAAAAATATGATCTCACCTTTCCTATTTTTATAAAATGGGCTAATACCTCAGCCCGTGTCTTGTCGGTTTGAGTGTTTAAGATTTCTCTCTGTACCCAAAAATTTACCTGAAACACACAAACAAAATAAAAATTTACCTGAAACACACAAACAAAATTAAAAAATTCATGACTTCTTTTGGTTTAGGTTAAAGGCCACATCAATACTGTGAAGGGCATATAGAAACTTTGAAGCTGTTTTTTTTTAACATGGAGATAGATAAACCAAGAGTTCCCTGTATTCTAACCCCTCTAGGAATAATTTCCAACTCCAGCAGGATATTCCGTTACGCGAATAGTTAAACGGATATTGCGTCATTTATTATTTTGTAAATGTCAATTTTTATTCAGAAGAAGACTAAATGTGGAAAGCTAAGAAAAGCTTGGAACTGATTATATACATATATTGGTAAAATACTTACATGGTTAAACCTGCGTGTAAAGGCAACAACATTCGGTGCCTTGATAAGTTTTTCCTTGTTTGTCCATGCACATGACGTTAACTCCTGAAGCATAATTAAACAATGTTATAATAAGTAAAAATAAAAATTTACTTAATAAATTAAAGTTATTAAAACCATAAAACTTTAAAAACGATGGTATTTCGTAACAAATACAAATGAAGTAAGGTCAGGGGGCAAATGTCATGCATGAATCTTGACTCCCTATATTAGCAATGCTTCAAATATAAAAATATCCTACAAGATTGTAACACCAGGATGACAGAAGTTTGTATGTACAAGAATACTTTGTCTTTGGTTATTAATTTTTGTGATAATGGGTTTCAGCTACAATGGCAAATCTGTATTGGTAAAAAAATGACTAAATTTCCATCTTTACTAGATCTACATCTAGTTGATATAGACCTCAGATTGCCACCCCCGCCCCTTTTGTACAGTATTGTAACCTGACACAAGCTGGCTTCTTAGTAGAACTTGAGTTGCTTTCTTAAACATGACTTCAAAGTCTCATGGGGGATTCGTACCCACTGCGGTCAGGTAGAGAAAAAACATAAATGATATTTGTTTGATTGATTGAGTTTTATGTCACACTGACACAGTATAGATCATATGGCGAAGTTCCAGCTTTACTGGTGGAGGAAGACCTCATTTGCCCTTCCCTGCATTATTTCAGGCACAAACGTGCACTCAAGTAGAACCACTGACGTTCCAAAAGCTAGCTGGATAGCTTCCTCACATGAAAGAATTCAAAAGTCCCTGTCAGGATTCGGACCCACAGCGGTGAGGGGCAAGTGATTTGAAGTCAACGACTTTAACCACTCTGCCACGGACGCCCCCATAAATAAAATGTAGAACTACAAAATCACAGTGTTAACTATACTTACATCAGGTTGAATGTTTTTAAATACTGGTAGATCCATCAGCGTTATCTGACTCTGCAATAGATTAAATATAATTGAGCCTCGTCATGACAAAATCAATGTAATGCGTTTGCGACCAGCATGGTCCGCACAGTCTGATCAGGATCCATGCTGTTCGCTTACAAACCCTATAACAAGTAGAGAAACTGATAGCAAACAGCATGGACCCTGATCAGACTGCGCAGATGCCCAGGCTGGTCAGGATCCATGCTGGTCGCAAACGCATTGCGTTGGTTTTGTTGTGAGGCGGCTCATATGTACTTTATTATAATGAAATAATTATGAAGATTTGCCGCTGATATAGATATTTTTTATTTGCTATATGTATCGTATTACCTTTTACTGTATATCAGCCACAGTTTATAACAGTTACTGTCTGTATATTACTTGTTGTATATTTCACTGTACGATACAGTATTTTTATATCACTGTATAGCTATCTCTCGCTGAATATCACTTATTGTAATCTTTCACTGTATATTAATCATCATATATCATCCACTGTATATCATTGTCTATCGCTCATATCTCACTGTATGACCATTCACTGTAAATCTCTAACTGAAGATCCGATATAATTATATCACTCACTGTATATCACTCACTGTATATCACTCACTGTATATCACTCACTGTATATCACTCACAGCATGCCTTGTTTTTTATATTTCACTAACATGCAAATTATCAGACAATTGTGCTATCAGAAAGTGACGGACAGAAGAACAATTAGGCAACTATGTGCGCCATTGAACAAGAATAAAAACAACAACAACAATTATAAAACTTACGGCAAATTCCTCTGGTGGAACTCGCAACACGTCGAAAACTGCCGCGTCATAGCTTTTCATGCGCGGCAAACTGGAATGTTTATCCAACGAGTCTTGACTGCCCTGACTAATGACCTGAAAATATACAATTATGATAAAATTAATAATATATCAAACAACCAGTTTCACAACTAATACTTTGTTATACATGTATTTTCATTGGTTGAGTACCATATTAACAGTGACACAGCCATAGTCCAGAGTTAAAGTGTTGGATTGGCCCCTCGAGATACTCGTCTGTATATTATTTGCGACAGAAAGTACCTGTTTTCATAACTGTCATCTTCAGTATGATGGTCACTATCTACAATGGAAGACCAAGTTAAATGGACAGTTCCACGTTCATGCCAGGCTTATATATAATCTGATGTCAAGATTATGTCAACCCTTAATCTGCAGTAAACCGAAATTGATTAGCTTTTGCCACTAGTACAGGGCCAACAGGCCCGAGTCCCGCCAGTACAGTGCCACCAGGCCTGACCCTTCATCAGTACACAACCAACAGGCCTCAGAATCAACCATTACAGAGCAACCAGGCCTGAACCCGACCAGTACAGAGCCACCAGGCCTGAGTCCCGCCAGTACAGTGCCACCAGGCCTGACCCTTCATCAGTACACAACCAACAGGCCTCAGAATCCACCAGTACAGAGGCACAAAGCCTAAACCTCTTCCAGGACAGAGCCACCAGGCCTGAGCCTTCATATTTCGATATCTTGCAGCCTTACCAGGCTCTGAACTGCTGGTAACTCAATTTTTGTATTGTTATAAATATTAAAATCCCTTAAATTTAGAATGGACTGTTCCAAATCTTAACCTGGATAAATCCATTATAGAAATTCAGTAGGGTATAGTCAATAAAATACTGATAATATTAGGACACAGTCAAGATAACAAAAACAAAACTGCTCTAATCTACAGACAGATTACAAGATACTGCAGTTTTACTTTAGAAAATAACAAAAGCCACTTTTCATGGTTTCCTTATTCACTGACAAGAGTTTTATACTGTCTTGTCAAAATACTTGCAGTTTAACATTATTTTTGGCAGAAATACCTTCTACCAGTACATAAATAAAATACAGATTTCGTCATAGAAGTAAATATGACCTTGTAACAATCTCAAGATGATTGTCCAAAGTTTAGAGCACTGATTAATGGACACTTAAAATCATAAGCTTTTATTGTATATCATACAGCATAGGAAATAACACAAGAAGTTATTATTTTGTATTTTTTGGCCTATACACAGTATAGAAGATGACTGACAGAAAGGTATAATAACAGAGGTGTATTGAGTTGATATATAAACATGTGTATATGAACTGTCACTGTGCCAAGGTCATAATACTATGATATACATTCCCCTCAAAATAACAGAAAAAATACATTTTGAGCCAGCCAATTTTTAGTCTGATAAAACTTTTCCATAAGACTGCCGATAAACTTTATATATAAAACATTTCCATAAGAACTGCCGATAAACTTTATATATAAAACATTTCCATAAGACTGCCGATAAACTTTATATATAAAACATTTCCATAAGACTGCCGATAAACTTTATATATAAATCAATCCCTCTCAAAACAAATTCTCCGTTAAACATCACACTGACTCAAAAAAATGCTGAAAACTTAAGTTGTTAGCCTAGAGCCAGGTCAGCCAACATTTGACAGTTTTTAGATTTAAAACTTCCCTAGTCCATTACAGTCAAACATGTGTTGAAGACCACCTCAGCATAAAAGTCACCATATAAATATGGCCACTTTTTGATTGCCTTTTAATTGATTAAATGCAAAACAGAGTATATAACCTCAGAATAAAGTCCACTTGTCTATGAAGACCACCTTTGGTCTCTTTTTTTGGATGGTCTTTATAATTCATAGGTTTAACCGTATTGTAACAAACTCAGCAAGCCTCCATAAACGAACTAATGATTTAAACTCTAAACACAATAATCATGTATAGAGGATTGTACAAAAGAAATTATGAATAAGTAATGAGACACTACACCTTTTAAAAGGTGTGGGATATCTGCCTACATTAATCCATCCTTTATTTGTTGCTGACACCACAAGTTTATGAAAGCTTTTATAAGTTAATATATCATTATCTCTTTACATCATAATATACTTCAATCTCTTTTATGTCTATTAAATATATATGTACAAACACCTACAGTATATAGCCCTAACACTTTCAACTCTCTCCAAACCCCTTAATGATAGATCAAAGGTCTTATTTTTTGTATTTTTTATTTTGATTTATGACACTTATCACAACAAAATCTTTGAAACAAACAACAAATAGTTTTGAGACACATCTTTCTCTAGATTTATCATGCATAAAATTGTAAACATTTTTTTTCTTCATTGTTTTTAAAGTATTGACTCCTGTTTAAAGTACTGCACTGACCCACTTTTAAAGTACACTGCATAAAAACTTCACTATTTAAATATTAATTACAGGTAAGGTATATTCTTTATTTTCTGTACATGAAACTTAGATGCTAACTGATCAAACATGGAACAGTCAAGTCTTTAAAAACATTTTCGTTTCGTATTTCAAAAAAAAAATGTTTATATCTCTAGTTTGTTCCAAATGTTTTTTTTTTAAATCCTTTTTTACTTTCTTTTTTAAATGAGACACTTTTCATATATTTGTCAATAAATGTTTTCTTTTCTTATGTTATTGACCTATATTTCCAGTTATTTATCTGTAAAGCCCCCCTCGCCCCTTCAATCTGTGTGTGGGAAAGGATGGAGTGGGGGGGGGGGAAATCATAGTAGCAAGACAATCATGTGGCAGATGTCACAATTGTCCTATATAGGATTTAGACTGACAACCTAGGAAAGACCCCCCCCCCCCCAAGTCAGATCAATAGAATCACAGCAGCTCCTGTATGGCCATTACAAAGTATAATCTGCAACAACTTAATACAAACTGACAGATTGAAGATTATAAATACATTGATATTACCATGGTTACAGCTGATCCTTGGTAAAGAAGGGGATTTTCTTGAAGGGCTCAATATGGGACTTTTGTTATATCAAGGGCTTAAACACAAAATAGATGGCACAATAAAAATCTCGTTAAAATGAAGAAAACAGATTGTCCCAAATTTTATAAAAGACAGTATAATTAACTATTTACCTTTTCATCTTGAAAATAATCCATTTTTTTTTTCAATCCAAATTTTCTTCCAAAGTGAATGAGAATAAATGTATAAATCCAGTGACTTTAAAAGAATATCACCACACAGACTAAAACAAAGTGACTTTTTAGAGCACTATTAACACTGAATTATTTATAATAAGTCTTTCCATTGTTGTTAAACTTAACATATAATCCAAGGCCGTACATAAGGTACACTACAAAAATAATATACAAGTTTTGTTTCTGGTATCCCTACCTATAATTCCTCCCCCGTTTTTTACCTGCCTAACGTTAACATAGACATATACTGTCACCTTAGTGCAATAAGTGGTTAACTCCTATTAAATTTAAGAGGACTTAACCCTTTACTGCACTAAGGTCACAAATTATTATCTTAAATATCATATATTATTTAAAAAAGAAAAAAGAAAAAAAAAAATCATAAAAAATCCTTAATTTAATTTGTAACCCTCCTCTTTTATTTACTGGAGACAAGAAACAAAACATTGTTTTTTATAGCCTAAAATACATCTATTCCAGAGACAATAATATTGTCTGTGAATTAATTGATTCTTTGATATGTCTTATGGTAAACAATAACAATACTTCCCCTATCATTTTATATAATACAGTTCTACGCCTTACATTTATTGCATATACCTCCCCCCCCCCCCCCCCTTAGCAAAGTAAAAAAGAAAGTTCCAATATTTCTACCAAAAACCAATACACATATTTACTGTCTTGCTAGGACACAAGGATGTTCTAAAATATAGTAAACAAAACAACTGATAGAATACATCCAAATCAATTAATGTGTCCCATTTTACAGACACTTATGATTATTAAATGTATTTCTGTACTATAGATTTTAATTAAGCTTCAGTATTAATATCAATATAAAATAATAACTCTTTTTCTTTTTGTATGCAGTTGCATTTATAACAAATATTGACAACAAAAACAACCCAAAGAATCCCATTCAATTCATGATCAAAACTTCCCAAATCACTATCCAAATCAACTTTATTCCCAAATTATTGTTCATTAAAACCTAATTCCCAAATCACTATTCCAAAAAAACCTGTATTACTAAATCACTGTTCCCTCCCAAAAAAACATTATTTCTAAATCATACTTCAGAAAAACTTTATTTCAAAATCAGCATAAACCTAGCTAGCTCCTTAATCTATTATCCAAATCATCAAATCCCTAAATATTAATATTGACATTGAAAAGTATTAATTTATAACCCCACAACTTACTAAGTAAAGACAATTAACCAACATAGTGCGTTTGCGATCAGCATGGATCCAGACCAGCCTGCGCATCCGCGCAGTCTGATCAGGATCCCTGATGTTCGCTTACAAACCCCATTACAAGTAGGGAAACTGATAGCAAACAGCATGGATCCTGAAGGCTGGTCTGGATCCATGCTGGTCGCAATCGCACTATGCTGGTATTCTCGTGACGTGGCTCAAATCATCTATTTTCCTAAATTATTCCATATTCATGGTTTCTGAAAATCATAAGCATTTCCTAAACACATTTCCCAAAAACATTATTCCCAAAATCATCCCAAATCTACATGTAGGTTCCTTTAAATTATAACATTTTTCTCAAAAACTGTATTTCTAATCAATTCACCGTCTCTTACACATAATTTAAATTAAATGCTATTTATTATATTCCATTTATAAATAATTTGTTCACAATTTTCCCAAATAACATCCGTACTCCACAAGCACAATTACAAATGTATATATTTTTTTTTCCATGTCTACTTCAATCTGTAATCTGTATTGTTTTCAGCTTGCATTAGCTTTTATCATTTCCCCCATAATTCCATTCCCATCAACCAACTTTACATAAAAGCTGTCCTAAATTCCCTACCCATCAACTAACTCTACAGACCGTCTGT